ATTGCCACCACCACTTCCAAGGCTGGTAATTTCCTTTAGTTTCTCTAGTAATTTTCTTTTCCAAGTTTTCAGTAATAAAACTTACCATTGCTTCTTATTTTCTGACTTGCAGCAACAGTTACTCCACCTCCTCCTCCTTTGACAACGGCTTCTTCTGCCTTGTCTGAAATTGAAAGGCCATTTGAGGCAGCCTTAAAAATAAGGAAGAAGATCAACACCGAAGTGCCCTTAAGTGTAGAGCCCATCCAGGCAATACTTCCACTTCCCAACTCTACACTTTCCATACCTTTTTTGAGGCAGGGCATTCCTATTTCTTTATGTCTGGGCTTAACTCCATATCTACCTCATCTAACCTTTACCTCAGCCTAGTTTACTCTCCCCACAGTCCTGGCTGCTCCTTTATTACCTGAGAAGGCCCTAGTTGTCATCTCATCAGTGATAGCTAGTGCTCCTAGAGAAAATACTGGTAGCTTACTAATTTCTTATCCACCACCATCATCCAGCTTCAGTCCCTCTTCCCTTGATCTGCTGGTGGCCAAGACTATAGACACTGCCAGGGGCACTTCAATCTCTTCTCCTATCCCTATGCAACCATTTCTTTCAGACTTCTCTGCACCTTCAATGTCAGTGGAAGAGATGGACATTTTTGAAGCTCGGCTAGCTAGCCTTTTTGACACATCTTCAACCACTCCAGCAACCAACAGTGAAGCTAAGCCATTGGCCTTTGCTGACTCCCTCTTGGAAATTTTTGAGAGCTCATCAACCATCAGTAGAGCTTCTTTGCCTCTATTGGACTTAGGCACCTGTTTGGAATTGCTAACATCATTTTCAAGGATCCCATTTGAAGCCTTACAAAGACCTATACTTAAGAATGGTTTCCTCCAATGCTGCAAAGTCATTGAGCAATCCAATATGACCATTTCAAGCCACTTAACCCAAGCAGCAGCAGCTACCATAGACTTCTATGTCAATATCTGCCATATTGCTAAAGCTGCAAAAGAGAAGCTATTGAAAGACAAGAAATTTGTTTCCCATATACATACTGAGGTATCTGAATTGAAGGGACAACATTCCTCTACTTCTCAATTTCGCACTCAGCTCTTGAAGAAAAAGGCCCAATTAAAAGATGAGTTAGCAGCAGTTAATCTAGCCTTGGACTGAACTGCTACAAAGCTACAGATTACCAATCAAGGGTTGGCTAACCATAGGCAAGACATGGCTATAGGCATTTAGTTGTTTCCATCCTTTAGGAGAAGAGAATCAATAATAAGGGAACAACTGAAGCATTGTACTGATTTTTTGGCCAATCTATGGCTGCATGTACTTAACTCTTTATGAAATGAAATCCTTATTTATTATTTGAGTGTTTCCATGCTTATTTTGTTTAGCATTTCTCACACTTCTTGTGTTTCCCACACAATTGGATAATAAGGCTTCAAATACCTGTCCTTGATTTTCTTGGGATGTACATAACCATTTAGATTTCTCAGATGGTATGCTCCTCCAAGCAAAACTCTATGGACTTGATATGGTCCTTCCCAATTTGGTGACCACTTACCAAATTTATGGCTTTTAATTCCTATTGGAAGTATTGTTTTCCACACCAAATCACCTTCATCAAAGCTAATATGCTTAACCTTCTTATTATAGCTTTTGGCTGCCTTTGTCTTTTGGAAGAGAATATTATTTAATGCCAAAATTCTAACTTCATCTATATTCTCTAATTCTAAGAACATGCTCTGATGATATTGCTTAAAAGTTAACTAGTCTTGGCATTTCACCCTCAATGACCTAATGTTAATCTCTACAGGCAACACTGCATCATGGCCATATACCAAGGCATAAGGAGTGACTCCAGTACTTGATCTTTGAAAAGTCCTATAAGCCCACAATACATCCAACAACAAGTTATGCCATTCTTTAGGATTGTCTTCCACAACTCTTTGTATTCCTTTTTTCAAGGACTTGTCGGATGATTCTACCTAACCATTTGCTTGTACATAATAAGAGGTGGAATTAATAAGACTAATTCCAAATTCTGCAGTGAAAGATTTTACATCTTTCCATCAAATACAATCCCATTATCTATAGTAATGGTCTGTGGGACGCCAAACCTGTGAATCAGATCTTTAATAAATCCAATAACTTCAGTTTGATACACAATCTTATATGGTTTAGCTTCGAGCCACTTAGTGAAGTAATCTATGGCCACTAAGATGAAACAATGGTGCTTCGAAGAGGGTGGATGTATTTTTCCTATTATATCCATAGCCCAACCTCTAAATGGCCAAGGCTTCACAACTGCATGCAAATCAGTTATTGGTATATATCTTATCATGCCATGTTTTTGGCACGCCTAGTAACCTCTAGCATACTCTATACAATCTTTAAGGATGGTTAGCCAATAGTAGGAATGCCTTTGAAGTAACCATCTCATTTTCACACTAGGATGGTGGGCATCACAAATGCCTTCATGGACTTCAGCCATGGCTTTCAATGCCTCCTTCGGCCCTAGACATTCCAATAACAACCCATCTGCTCCCCTTTTGTAAAGAGCATTACCATATACTATGTATTGCATAGACTGTAACTTAATCTTTCTACTGGCCTTCGAAGATGGGCCAGTTAAGTACTACATGATTGGATGCCTCCAATCTTGATCTTGTAAGTCATTATGATTGAGTTCCAACACAATATTCATTTTAGCTAAAGGTGGTATTAATTTTTGAAATGTTACTTGACTTATATTCAATTGAGTGTCATCCCTCCTTTTGAAATTCGAAACCTTCTGAGCTACACCATTGGCTTTGTTATTCATGAACCTTGGGATATAAGTCACATTTGCTATCTGAAACTGAGAAAGCAAATGTAATGCAACAACATAATTTGGTAACATGCTTGCACTTTGACATTTGAAAATTCCTTTCACTTGGTTGGCTACCAATTGAGAATCTCTAAATATATTAACTGCATGAGTTTGTAATCCAATAAGTATTTCCAGTCCCATTATTAAAGCTTCATATTCAGCTTGATTATTGGAACAAATAATTTCATCCACTCTGAAACCATGTATGGTTTCTACCCCCTGTGGTGATTTAATTATAACACCAATTCTAACCAAACCATTGGTTTTTGATTCATCGAACCACATCTGCCATGGCTCAACATTGATCATACCAAGGTCCATTATTTCTTGGCTTTCTGTTTGGCATGGATGATCTGTCAAGAAGTTAGCCAAAACTTATCCTTTTACTGCCTTTTGGGGGACATATTCTAGATGAAATTCTGATAAAGCTAATATCCATTTGCTAATTTTTCCTCTCAACATAGGTCTAGAAAACATATACTTAACCAATGATTTGGTTGCAATTACCAAGACAACAGTAGACAACAGATAATATCTTACTTTCATTGCTACAAAGTACAATACAAGGCACAGTTTTTCTACAGCTGAGTATTTACATTCACAAGAATTTAAAAACCTACTAAGGTAATAAACTGCTTGCTCCTTGCCTTCTTCATTGTCCTGGATTAGGAAAACTCCCAATGAATCTTTTGCTGCAGCAATGTATAACTTCAAGGGCCACTAAAAGAATTCGCACTTTTGCCGACTAAAAATTTGGTCAACAAAAGTCCATTTTTAGTCAGCAAAAGTCATTCGCGACTAATTTTTTTGGTCGCCACTTTGGTCGCCAATTGAGGGTCGCGGATAGTAATTCGCAACTAAAAAATTTTTTAGTCGCGAAAAAGTTATATTTGCCGACTAAATTTTTGGTCGCTAAATATATAATTACTGCGACTAATCCATTTAGTAACTAAAACACTTTAGTCGCAAAAAATCATATTTTCCCGACCAAACATGTTAGTCGCCAATTCGCACATTCAACGACCAAATAGTTTGGTCGGCATTTGTCGCCCATTTCCACGACCAACTAATTTGGTCGCAAATTGTCACATTCCGCGACCAAAAAATTTGGTTGGCAATACATTCCACGACCAAAAGATTGGTCGGCAATATTCACTACAAAAAAATTACACTTTTGCCGACTAAAAAATTGGTCGGCAAAAGTCCATTTTTAGTCGGCAAAAGTCATTCGCAACCAGTTTTTTTGGTCGCCACTTTGGTCGCCAATTGAGGATCGGCAAAAGTAATTACCGACCAAAACTTTTGTTAGTCAGGAAAAAGTTAGATTTGCCGACTAAATTTTTGGTCGCTAAATATATCATTACCACGACTAATTCATTTAGTCGCTAAAACACTTTGGTCACGAAAAGTGATATTTTCCCGACCAAATATGTTTGTCGCCAAAAGCAAAAAATCGGCAACCAACTATTTTCGTCGCCAAAAGTTGAGGAATTGCCAACTAATAATTTAGTCGCCAAAAGGTAAGGAATTGCCGACCAATGATTTTAGTCACAAAAGTGTAGAATTTGGCGACCAATTATTTAGTCACCAAAACTTTTCTCAACCAAACATTTTGTCGCCAAAAGAAATTAAACAATCAACGACTAATTAGTTAGTCGCCGAATCTCTTCTTTTTTTTTTTTTTTTTGAACAATCAATTTTTGTTTATAAACATTCAATCCAATATTGAACAAAATTCATTCAACCCAACCTAAATATAACATTAAAATTCGTCATATTTTCCTGCTTAATCCCAAACTTTACAATCATTCCATTCAAAACATTAATTGAGACAAGTTTTAAACATCCATCAATTGAAAACCGGTAAGTAATTGAACAAAAATTAAAAGGAAAATCAATGAAGGAATCCAAAAAAATTTCTACAACAGGAAGGGATATATATGGTTTTGAAGCATCAGCCTTGTGCTTGATCGTTTTTGGAAGTCACCTACAAATAAAATAAGAGAAGTTAGAATCTAGAAAAACATCCAAAATGAAGTATTCTCATAAAAAAATATTAACCATATGGAAAAAAATTTATATGATTATATTACAAACATTTGATGATGACTATACCACAATTAAGTATTGTCATACCTGAACAATGAGACAAAGCAACTCAGCAAGTCTCGCCAAGGTAATCCTTCAGTAATACTTTGAGACAACAAGGATGTTCTGCAAGAAACAATAATGTCTTGTAGATAAACCATTGCAACATATAATTGAAATATATAATTGAACATGAGTGAAAGATTACATGTTCTATTACTCTCTGTCTCAAATCTTCAGCTGCTCTGTTACCTAAAGAACCACCAAGCATGTTCTTTTCATTCTCAAATTCATCCTTGAATGTATTCCATGAAGTCATCCACTGAATAACCTCCATTGTAACAAGCTGTTTCAAGAGCAACCTATGACAGAACAGAGGGGCAAGCATCCAATAGTGTTAACAGAACAAAACTATGCTCTCTGTTTTTTTTTTTTTTTTAGGTCATTTACTATTGGTTTCAGATTAATTGGATAGACATACCTAAAAAGTTATATCCACTCACTTCCAATTTTCCCTTGGAGCCTCCTATAGCTAGCAAAAGCATGATGCATAAAAAGTTATATCCACTCACAAACTTAACTTAACAAGATATCATAACATATTAACATTAAAAACAAAACTTAACTTACATCACGTGTGCCTAAAGAATCTTATGGTTATGGTCTCTTTTTATATAAATTATTGCTTTATTACCAATCATGATGCTCCATATAACCATCTAATCATTATTTATGCACAGCAAATGAAAGTGAATTTACATAAAAGAAAAAAATATTCATTGTAATTTCCATTAGCTAGGAATATGGCTATTCATGACATGAGTGATACTAAGCAGGAAAACAGAATTTACATGTGGCTTCCTAATCAGCTCCTTGAGAACAGAATGAAGTGTTAACCGGAGTTCTTTGAAGAGGACAGCAATTAGGGCAGGTGCTACCAATTTGGACAGTACGTGTATTTTTAAAAATAAGCCATCCATTTTTTATTTTGTTTTGTGAAAAATAAGATAAATTGAGCAAATTACGTTTATTGAGTCTATTTAATTTTTTTATGGAATATATAAATGAAGAATCCTACAAAATAAACATTCGAATTATCAAAATAGAACCCGTAATAAATTTCACAAGCCTAAATAATATCCTCCAATTCAGATCTAAACTAGAGGCAATTCAGATCCTATATATAAAATGACCCTTCACCATATTGTTCCCTTAATGCTGTAGACACTGAACATTGATTTGTTTGGTGAGATAACCAACATTACACACAACTTAAAACAATATCATCACTTTACTATTATAACCTCCAACAAAGACATAACACCTAATAAAAGTAGGGAAAAAGAAGTGGGAATAAAAAGAAAGCTAAAGCTGAAATGAACAAATTCGAATCATCACAGTTAATTAGGTGATTGCCTTCAAATTCAGAAACACATTGAAAACATAATGAGAAACATATATAGTTTTCAAGATCTTGTTTCTCATTATGTTTTCAATGTGTTTCTTCTCAACAATATATGTTTACTACCACCTAATTAACTGTGATGATTCGTTACTCTGTCCTTTTACGTTACTCTGTCCTTTTAGTTCCTTCTCAAACAATATATTGCATATTTACCAACAAAAAACAAGCCCTAATATGTTACTCTGTCCTTTTAGTTCCTTCTCAACAATATATTGCATATTTACCAACAAAAAACAAGTGGACAACAACCCAAGCTCATTTGTCTTCCAACAACCAGTAAACAAAACCATGAAAGGACAAACTGTACCTTCACCGTTGTCATTGGCTGATATCACAATGATGATGTATTTGAAGAGAGCCATGAGGGTGAATGTCCAGAAAATAAAGGAAAGCACCCCATAAATCTTTTCATCATCCTCATGAAGGCTCAGCTTCCCTGAGAAGGTGGTCTTGTAAACATACAGAGGGGAGGTGTACCTATATATAGATAGTGACAGACAAGGGGACAGAGTATTTCAAGAATGTCAAATTGTAATAAATGAAATTCTTCTTCTGTTTTTTCTTTTTTTTTTCCCCCAAGTGAATTTCTCATGTCCAAATTTATGGTTTAAAAAAAATCCCTCACTACAAGATAGTTTTTAATTCAGACAACCCAAAATTATAGAACGAAACCAATTAAGACAACCCAAAATAGTTTTTAATTCAACATCAACAGAAAGAACTTAATTCAGACAACCCTAAAATATGTTATATGTGCCATTAATGTGAAAACTCAATTAAAAATTACACTCTTTAGTCCCTCAAATATACCATGTATATCACTTTAAAATATACCATATATGCTGATGCTTTATTGTTAAGAACATAAATTTAAGAAGAGTTGGCCATGTTTTGAAGGGAGTGAACACTGGAAATTCAAGAAAATTCTTTCTATACTTTTGGGACTACAGTTGGGTATTTAGAATTACGCAGATTGTGAATAAAGTAGGGATTTTATGGCTGTTTGGGTACTGTGTTCCATACATGTGGACAGTAGCTAGGCTGAGTTTTTAGTTTTTTTGGTATTAGGCTAAGACGTTTGAGGAGAGTAGGATTTAGCCTTATCAAATAGTATTTTAAGTGAACTTGCATTGAAAAAAAAAAAATTGGGCTAGTTACGCCTCTCTAAACCTTTTTCCCTCTTCTCTCTCTAAAAACCTCCTACCCCAGCCTCTCTTTTGGGCTGGCCGGCCGCCGCCTTTGGCTATGGCGGTCGGCTGGCCTAGCTCGTCTCGGCGGCTTACTTGTTAGTTTTTTTTTTCTTTCAATAAACTTGAGTCCTCCATCTTCCCACCTAGGTGTGTTTTTTCCTGCTGCGGGAGAGTTCTTTGTGTTTCAACCTTGCCGTTTCAGCTGATTCACCAGGGGAGTCCAGGAATTTCATTCGAGCGCTTTTGGAGAGTAGGAGCTTGAGGGGTGTACTCTGGTTCGTAGGCGATGCAGCTCGTTCCGGTTTTCACTCAAGCGCTTCTCCTCGAGTGAGAGTTTGAGGGGTGAAATCCTACCAAAAGTTTGGAGGTGTCCCAGCGGGTGGTCGGTGTTCGGTGGGTGTGGAGTTTGGCAGTAGTCTTGGTGGCTATGGAGTTTGGCAGCAGCATGGGTGTGGGCTGCAGCTGAGGCCTTGGCGTGGGTTCTGGGTGTGAGTTAAGAAGAAAACCTGGTGGGTGTTTTGTAGGTTTGTAGGTGTTGTGCAGGGGAGTTGCAGCAGCTTGGTGATGTCCAGCCATGGTGTTCGGCTATGAGGATGCAGAGGAGATGTCCTGCCATGGAGATGTCCAGTCATGAAGATGTCTCGGAAGGTGCAGAGGTGCGTGCACAGAAGAGGAGCAGGTAGCAGGTGGGCGTGGTGTGCAGCAGGTGGGCGTTGGAGCAGCGTAGGCCTGGGCAGTAGCTGCAGGTGTTTAAATTTTGGGTTGCTGATTAGTTGGGTTTTCAGTTCGGGTTCAGTGGGAGTTGGTTTAGTTTTCTAATTTGGTTTGGGTGTTTTGGTGGGTTGTTTATGTGGAGATTCATGTATTTTAATTTTCTAGTTAAGTTCTTCTTAACTTTTTTTAAAAAATTCGAGAGGCTTAGGGGTTGATTGTATGAATGCGAGTAGTAGTAGTAGGGGTATTTTTATACTTCTGAATCTCTCTCGATGCATGTCTTCTTCCTGTACCTTTAATTTCATGCTGTTAAATGAATTTTTTCTTTGCTGATCAAAAAAAATAGTATTTTAAGTGTAGGAGGAGGTTAACAATGTTTAATTTTAAGTTCAGAAGGACCTGATATTGTATAAATTAAAAGAAAAATGAAAAGAAGTATAAGAAGAAGATAGGCATCGCATTTAAATTCCCCAAGGCATCAAGCCTGGGGATCAAAGTATAGCACACAGTTTGCCTCTCCATATCAAACTACAATTAATTTTTTTTTTAATTGTACTCTAAAGACGTTACCAAATTCCACTGCTATCAAATATAATAGGCACATGGGAATATGGAGAGACATGAAGTCCACTACTATGTGTTATAAAAAGAACAGGTCAACTCAATAAAGCATGATGATTCATGATTGTAATTTGATATTTTTGGTTGCAATTTGCAATTTAATATTTTCAATTAACAGAGATCCATTGTCCATATGATAAGCAGAATCGTAAGACATTGCGCTATATTGGTTGCCATCATTTAAATCAGTCACTATCCAATAACTCACACCAACAGCATTCTTAAATATATGTAACACAGATTATTTTAGGCCTTCTAGTTTGAGAAATCCACCAAGTGGATTAGAGAGCTATTGTGAAATCTACCTAATCAGACTAGTATGATCTAGGAAAATTCAAGTAAAAAATTATAGTTTTCCCATGATCCATGTTTGTCACTGTAACCAAGCCCATCAATCCTTCAAACAACTCTCCAAACTATATGACTCTTAGTAACTTTTAAGCCATCAAATTAATCGTAGCATGTTAAGGAACAATTAAAACTAATTCAAATTCCTATAATGAAGGATACAATAACAAGAGTTGGGAAACAAAGTCCAAATTCCTATAATGAAGGATACAGTAACAATGATATAACAGTTAAGTATACAACTTAATCATTTATGTATATCCTTAATTCCTTAAAAAAATGTCAAACGAAAAGAATCTCAAATTCAGAAAAGTATAGTTCTGCTAACATGTTATAGTTCTCCTGATGCATAAAATAATAAGAACACCATCAAATGTGCATACCGATATATCTTCGTTTGGAGCAAAACTGAGACAACGAACATGTCTTGATCACCATTCACCTATACAAGGGCAACAACTAGAAGTCCATCTAAATATTCCAAGCAGAAATCTAAACAGGAAATATACTTATTTAAGATACACTCTCATACAATTATAAGTTCTCCATCCCACAAACAGCATACTGCATTCTCAGAAACTAAATTTAGCTTTGGAGTAGATAATGAGAGACCCCTAATTGAAGTTTCCTTCAAAAGGGACAATTCTGGTAGGGACCTATAATTTCAGAAAAGCAGCGTTCAGGTGGATATGCACCAAATCAATTATGTGATGCAATACTGAAAATGAAAATTCTGCAGGACTAGTTCCATTATTTGCTTTGATCATTGAATTAGGGAGGACACTTGTCCTAAATTTCCTTATTTTTCTCATTGAATATTGGGAACAATCTTGCACAAGGCTGAATGACTGCAAAACTGATTCAACTTGAGATTAAAACAGTTATTCTTATCTATTTAGGGCAATACAGAGTCCTTCATTTATGTCTGCTATAGGTGCATTTGGATGAAAAATGCCTAATGAATGAACAAATTCTCCTAACCCTATTGCATTTCACATCAAACAAATCAAATATCTGCATAAACAAAATCGAATCAAAAAATGGTTTTTTTGTGGATCAATAAGCACACAATCACGTAAAATCAATTCTTAGAAGCCAAATCGTCTATATAACTTGTAAGGGTATATATAAAGTATAGTATTAAAAAAAAAAAAAAAAAACCATCTTTTACTTTTCAAATTCTTGACCAGGGAGACAAAGTGGTTGACGCATCACATGATAAGACCACAACACCAAAAGACATGATAACAAACTGTGCACATCACAAGAATCATGTAGCTTCAAATCTTATTTCAAACACAGCATATAGATTCAATTTCCATGACACAACCAAAACACGCTATTCATACAATCCATTTGAAGCTAAATTTGATATCTGGCGCAAAATAAACCTTTCATGTGTATATAGTGACTGGAAAACACCTTGCCATCACTGATACTACAATTCTAAGGCCTAGTAAACATCTTTCTTCCCTATGATTGAAAATCCCTACATTAATAAGTCTTTGAATTTCACAAAGGGATTCAAAAGTTTGAGATTAATATCATCTGATTTCAGTTTCTATCATATGATTAAACTTCACAACCTATCATAAACATGTAACCCTAAAAGAAATACAAAAACTACAAAAGAACAGTAACCAGCTTTATGATGGATATAACAATTTCAGAGAACGTGCTTATAATGCATAACAGCTTTTCACCTTGAACATGACACAGATACATATGCAGATTGGAAGTGCAACAAAAGGTAAGACTCTGCAAAATGATAAAAGCTGTGAGGCTAGGAAAGTATGAAGACGGGAATTAGAAGCAAAAGAAAATCAAAAAAATTCAAATACTTGACTGATATCATCATCACTGAAACATCTCATCTAACTTTTGCCTGTAGAGAGCCAAACTCTACATTTTGGGAAAGGGAGAAAAAGATTAGTTGCCCAAATTATTAGTAATAGAGAAGAAACGAAAGATGTATAGCACTCTCTCTCTCTCTCTCCCTCTCTCTCTCTCTCTTGTCCTTTTCGGTTGCGCATAATTTGAAGTTTATCATCTGATGGAACTAGAAGTTCAACTACCTAAACCCCCCCCCCCAAAAAAAAAGGCAACATTGTCAAGAATAAATATTCATTACTTCGTACCTAAGCCTTCCTTTTTTAACTAAAGAATGTGTGCCAGGTTCCAGCCAGCGCATCAGAAAACAATTGGATTCTCAGAGAAAGGCCATTTGATGAGGCAAATTTAGGCCCCTTTAATCTAATGTATATTGACATTTTTACAACCAGAAAACAAGGTAAAGAGTTTCTATCAACTTCACTCAATAATTGAGAAGCACATCTTCCACTACATATCTATAAATATTCAAAGCCACTGCTGCATTGTTATTTCTTCATGAAGATTCTCCATCAACAAATGGTTTTTTTTATACTATACCTCCATTTAACCAGATAACAAGAGGCTTGGAAGCCAGATTTGAGTCAGTTTCAAAAACCAGAGCTTTCTGCTTCTTGGCATCAACGGTCACATACCCAGAGAATTGCTGGTAACTGACTGCAGAGTCACACAGTTGAAGCAC